CCCCAAAACCCCAAAACCCCAAAACCCCAAAACCCCTTTTAGATCAATTTATAGAAATGTCAACTAGGTTTTATAAAATTTAACTTAGTAGAAATGCCAGGAAGACAAAAACATTCATTACCTTCCATCACGCTTTATGTCTTGCTCATGCTTATAGCCAGCGTTGTTGCAGATGCTGGATATCCAAGTCAAAAGGAAAGTAAGACCAGGAGCTATTGTAAGTCGAATTTCGAAGAATTCTTAATAAATTTAAACCTAACAATTTGCATTTGTGTGAAATAAGCTTGGATCATTAATAAGATAGATTGATTATTGTGATAAACAGGATTGGTTTACAGGAAGCCAATTCTAAAATAAGAAAATTAATGATTTACAATATAATCTAATAAATTTGACAAAGATCTTCAAAAACTAAAGAAATAACAACCCAAAATCTTCCAAAAAATCACATAACTTATCCAAATACTTTCTCAACCCCAAAATCTTGCTCTGAACTCTACTCCCATTAGCAGTCTTAAACCTCCCATTAACAGTTCTAAAATCTTTTCTTTGCACATTCCACCTAAACTAATTCCCACTTGCTCGTATACCTCTTAAAGCATCTTTTCCTCCCAAAATTCAGTTCTAAGCGGTGGCCCAATGGATGCGAGCAGCTTAGGCTTCTCAGCTTCAGAATTTGTTCTTTGTAAATACACAATTCAAGTGAGAGTTCAGCGAACCCAGTTTTTAATGAAGACCATATTGCTCTTTTTGTACTTTAGGGCTAGTTTTAGAGACTTAAGTATCCTTTTTGGGGAGTTTACAGCTCCAATGAGGCTTACTGGGGTGAGATAAGTAGCTGAGGGGCTTAATCGAGATTTTAGCACGTATACATCTTAATTCAAAGAATGAGTTTTTGGAAACTCAGGATCACTGGGATAGTGAAAGTTCAGAAACAGATAGCTTCTTACACATTCCAAGAAAAGTTCAGTTACGTACTGTTGATTCAGAGGATTTGTCACAAGAAACTGATGCTTGGGAATCTGGTATTGAGGAAGAGACTCAAGATGAGTTATACGGAGAAATCACCCAGGAGGAACCTCCAGTACACATGCATGATTCTTCAGAGTCATTCATCAGTAGATTGCAAGAGGATTCAAGATCTGGAGTAACTCCTTCAGTCTAACCTCATATAGAATCTTTTCGGAAGAAATGTATGCATCATCATCCTCTCACTATTCCTAATCACAGTATTTCTGATAGCTTTCTTAAGAATAGCTGATATGGTAAGACTTTAGATTACTAATTTTAGTCTTCTAACTCAAAACAGTCCCTACATCAAATCAGGAGGGACAGAAAGATAGAGATCGTAACTATTCTGAACACTATTATCACTCATAATGTGATAAAGAGCCTAAAGAAATCTCCTGGCAAGAACTATGGAAAGATCTTTTCTTCCGTCTGTTCCGATGATATCCAAGATGAGGAATAAAATCCAGGAAAATGGCTTTAATCCAGATTTATTTCCATGCTTAATGGACTTCAACGTAATTTATTACAAGAGGGGTTTTGGGGTTTTGGGGTTTTGGGGTTTTGGGG